ATGGGACCGTAAATAAGCAACATTGCCGTTTTTACGCCACTGAAAATCCTCAGGAGATTCAAGAAGTGCCTCTTCATGACGAAAAAGTCTTTGGTGCGGCGTTAGTGCGAAAACGGTCATTGGGCCGTTTTCTTCCAAAATGAAAATGGCCATGCTGTTACCATCAATCAGGAGCGTTATCGCGACATGATGACCAATTTTGTGATGCCAATTATTCGTCGAAAGCGTATGAGGCAGTTCTGGTTTCAACAAGACGGCGCTACACCGCACACAAGTCGCATAACAATCGATTTTCTGAAGAATTTGTTTCCGGGCCGTTTGATGTCGAAAAGTGGTGATTTGGACTGGCCACCGCGTTCGCCCGATTTGACGCCGCCTGACTTCTTCTTGTGGGCATATTTGTAGTCAAAGGTTTACGTTAACAAGCCAAGGACCGTAGAAGAGCTCAAGGACAACATTCGTGAAGAAATAGCCGCTATTCCGGCCGAAATGTTGGCAAAAACGATGTTGGCAAAAACGATGCTTCATCCAATTTGGCGTTTAAGTCCCTCACATTAGAAATATGCATTCGAAAACAATGGTATTTGGTATCAGATACTGCCCAGAAATACCTCTACCAAATTTTATCAAGATCGGTTCACATTTAGATATAGGTCCCATATATATATCTTCAACCGACTTTGGGTTAATTGTGCACCATATTATTTGGTGGTATGATCTACAGGGTTGCCCATATTCGACGGACACATCTGGCAACGCCATAACTTTTGACAGAGATGTCACATCGCTTAATGACATACCGCGTTTGAAGCGTCAGATCAAGCAGATTTTTACCATGAACGAATACACGCCACGCGAGCGCTCTGAAATAGTTGAAATTTACATTCAACAGAAGAAGTCAATTGTGAAAACGTGCTTTTAAAACATTAAAAAATGTGAGAAGTGCGCCTTCTAAGAACACCATTAAGCGTTTATACGAAAAATTTTTGACTGGTAAGGCTCTTTCTAATACGAAAGGCCATATAAAAGTCGACCAAGGCGATCGGCCGAGAATATCACTGCCGTACGAGCCAGTTTGAGAGGTCCCCAAGAACATCCCAAAAACGCCGTTCTCAGCAGTTGGGCATGGCTCGGTCCACTTTACAACGGATTATTCGCATTGATTTGCATTTGTTCCCGTACAAAATTCAATTGACGCAAAGAATGTCGATTGGAATGGGCCCAAAGAGTCATCGAAATGGCCGAAGATGACGAGCAATTTTGGAACAAAATTAGCATGTCCGATGAATCCCATTTCATATTGAATGGGACCGTAAATAAGCAACATTGCCGTTTTTACGCCACTGAAAATCCTCAGGAGATTCAAGAAGTGCCTCTTCATGACGAAAAAGTCTTTGGTGCGGCGTTAGTGCGAAAACGGTCATTGGGCCGTTTTTCTTCCAAAATGAAAATGGCCATGCTGTTACCATCAATCAGGAGCGTTATCGCGACATGATGACCAATTTTGTGATGCCAATTATTCGTCGAAAGCGTATGAGGCAGTTCTGGTTTCAACAAGACGGCGCTCCACCGCACACAAGTCGCATAACAATCGATTTTCTGAAGAATTTGTTTCCGGGCCGTTTGATGTCGAAAAGTGGTGATTTGGACTGGCCACCGCGTTCGCCCGATTTGACGCCGCCTGACTTCTTCTTGTGGGCATATTTGTAGTCAAAGGTTTACGTTAACAAGCCAAGGACCGTAGAAGAGCTCAAGGACAACATTCGTGAAGAAATAGCCGCTATTCCGGCCGAAATGTTGGCAAAAACGATGTTGGCAAAAACGATGCTTCATCCAATTTGGCGTTTAAGTCCCTCACATTAGAAATATGCATTCGAAAACAATGGTATTTGGTATCAGATACTGCCCAGAAATACCTCTAACAAATTTTATCAAGATCGGTTCACATTTAGATATAGGTCCCATATATATATCTTCAACCGACTTTGGGTTAATTGTGCACCATATTATTTGGTGGTATGATCTACAGGGTTGCCCATATTCGACGGACACATCTGGCAACGCCATAACTTTTGACAGAGATGTCACATCGCTTAATGACATACCGCGTTTGAAGCGTCAGATCAAGCAGATTTTTACCATGAACGAATACACGCCACGCGAGCGCTCTGAAATAGTTGAAATTTACATTCAACAGAAGAAGTCAATTGTGAAAACGTGCTTTTAAAACATTAAAAAATGTGAGAAGTGCGCCTTCTAAGAACACCATTAAGCGTTTATACGAAAAATTTTTGACTGGTAAGGCTCTTTCTAATACGAAAGGCCATATAAAAGTCGACCAAGGCGATCGGCCGAGAATATCACTGCCGTACGAGCCAGTTTGAGAGGTCCCCAAGAACATCCCAAAAACGCCGTTCTCAGCAGTTGGGCATGGCTCGGTCCACTTTACAACGGATTATTCGCATTGATTTGCATTTGTTCCCGTACAAAATTCAATTGACGCAAAGAATGTCGATTGGAATGGGCCCAAAGAGTCATCGAAATGGCCGAAGATGACGAGCAATTTTGGAACAAAATTAGCATGTCCGATGAATCCCATTTCACATTGAATGGGACCGTAAATAAGCAACATTGCCGTTTTTACGCCACTGAAAATCCTCAGGAGATTCAAGAAGTGCCTCTTCATGACGAAAAAGTCTTTGGTGCGGCGTTAGTGCGAAAACGGTCATTGGGCCGTTTTTCTTCCAAAATGAAAATGGCCATGCTGTTACCATCAATCAGGAGCGTTATCGCGACATGATGACCAATTTTGTGATGCCAATTATTCGTCGAAAGCGTATGAGGCAGTTCTGGTTTCAACAAGACGGCGCTCCACCGCACACAAGTCGCATAACAATCGATTTTCTGAAGAATTTGTTTCCGGGCCGTTTGATGTCGAAAAGTGGTGATTTGGACTGGCCACCGCGTTCGCCCGATTTGACGCCGCCTGACTTCTTCTTGTGGGCATATTTGTAGTCAAAGGTTTACGTTAACAAGCCAAGGACCGTAGAAGAGCTCAAGGACAACATTCGTGAAGAAATAGCCGCTATTCCGGCCGAAATGTTGGCAAAAACGATGTTGGCAAAAACGATGTTGGCAAAAACGATGCTTCATCCAATTTGGCGTTTAAGTCCCTCACATTAGAAATATGCATTCGAAAACAATGGTATTTGGTATCAGATACTGCCCAGAAATACCTCTACCAAATTTTATCAAGATCGGTTCACATTTAGATATAGGTCCCATATATATATCTTCAACCGACTTTGGGTTAATTGTGCACCATATTATTTGGTGGTATGATCTACAGGGTTGCCCATATTCGACGGACACATCTGGCAACGCCATAACTTTTGACAGAGATGTCACATCGCTTAATGACATACCGCGTTTGAAGCGTCAGATCAAGCAGATTTTTACCATGAACGAATACACGCCACGCGAGCGCTCTGAAATAGTTGAAATTTACATTCAACAGAAGAAGTCAATTGTGAAAACGTGCTTTTAAAACATTAAAAAATGTGAGAAGTGCGCCTTCTAAGAACACCATTAAGTGTTTATACGAAAAATTTTTGACTGGTAAGGCTCTTTCTAATCCGAAAGGCCATATAAAAGTCGACCAAGGCGATCGGCCGAGAATATCGCTGCCGTACGAGCCAGTTTGAGAGGTCCCCAAGAACATCCCAAAAACGCCGTTCTCAGCAGTTGGGCATGGCTCGGTCCACTTTACAACGGATTATTCGCATTGATTTGCATTTGTTCCCGTACAAAATTCAATTGACGCAAAGAATGTCGATTGGAATGGGCCCAAAGAGTCATCGAAATGGCCGAAGATGACGAGCAATTTTGGAACAAAATTAGCATGTCCGATGAATCCCATTTCACATTGAATGGGACCGTAAATAAGCAACATTGCCGTTTTTACGCCACTGAAAATCCTCAGGAGATTCAAGAAGTGCCTCTTCATGACGAAAAAGTCTTTGGTGCGGCGTTAGTGCGAAAACGGTCATTGGGCCGTTTTTCTTCCAAAATGAAAATGGCCATGCTGTTACCATCAATCAGGAGCGTTATCGCGACATGATGACCAATTTTGTGATGCCAATTATTCGTCGAAAGCGTATGAGGCAGTTCTGGTTTCAACAAGACGGCGCTCCACCGCACACAAGTCGCATAACAATCGATTTTCTGAAGAATTTGTTTCCGGGCCGTTTGATGTCGAAAAGTGGTGATTTGGACTGGCCACCGCGTTCGCCCGATTTGACGCCGCCTGACTTCTTCTTGTGGGCATATTTGTAGTCAAAGGTTTACGTTAACAAGCCAAGGACCGTAGAAGAGCTCAAGGACAACATTCGTGAAGAAATAGCCGCTATTCCGGCCGAAATGTTGGCAAAAATGATGGAAAATGCAGCAAAAAGGGCACAATACGTCATCAACGCCAGAGGCGGCCATTTGAGAGATATCATATTCAAAAATTGATGTAAACAAATCTACTTGGAACAAATTAAATGATTAACATTGCCAACCGCCAAATTTTTATTTTTTTCTTTGATTTTTAAAAAAAAACATGGGTCCGTCGAATATGGGCAACCCTGTATTTGGTGGTATGATCTACTTAAAATAAACTATTTTGTTACGGGAGCTCTACTAAATATGCATAGTGTTATTATTATATAGTGGGCCCCGCTCGACTTTTGATTTTTCCTTACTGGTTTCTGAATTAGTAATGGGGAGAACTCACGCAAAATATTATCAATGTAGATTCAGGATTTTCAAAATCACCCAACGTATTATCCAACTGTTAGCTACTGGTCGGAGGGATTTTAGCATCAATAAATTTTGGCGGATGAAAGGGAATTTTGATCGTTTTATTACTCGTTTGAAATCACATTTACAATTTTGTAACCAACATATTCGATTCGTTGCAGCCATTGATAGTATTCATAGATTAAGAGCCTTAAGCGTCGATAACTCAACCTTTATTTGTGATTGCGCTCTATAGATATTATACTATTAAACCAACCCAACACTGAAGACCATTACACCAAAACTATGCCAGCGTTTTATCAGCCACTTTGTTATCGCATACCGTTTTCATATTTTCTTTTCGCTCACTTAATTTTTCTTTATTTTTGATTTCTTGGATTTTTTCGTCGATTTTGAAGAAGCACATATAATCTTCTTTCCAAATCTAATTAAACTCGCTATTAATGTAAACACAACAAAAATACAACTGGCTAAGAGTAGATACACATCAATATTGTGATATTGCCAAAATGACAAATCCTGACCGGCATTACGAATATGAGGAGCTCCATCATGTCTCAGGACATATTCCACCCAAAAGATTGCAGTTTCCATGGGTGTCAAAGGTTGATCTCTGAAACGTTTCGACAATGTCTTGACAGCATTCGAATAACGAGGATTTGTCCACAGCTCTTCGATTTTCTGCTTAAATTCTTCCTTGTTGAGGGTTTTCAAATCCATACTCAAAGCAAAACCTGCCTTCACGGAGTTTTTAACATTCATGAATTGATCGGCCAACACTGGAATACCCAAGATGGGTTTACCATGGAAAATGGTTTCGGTGGTACTCAAATAGCCACCATGGGAAATGAACAGCTTTACATTAGGATGGGCCAATATGGAGGGTTGATTAAACCATTTGCGTATGACAACATTGGCTGGTTTATTCGGCAATTCTTCCAATTCAAATTTCCACAAAACTTTAATTTTTAATTCTGCAAATGTACCCAATATGGCCTGAAGAGTTTGTGGGGGCAAATCTTTACTCTTGACATTCGAGCCCATGGAGAAGTATATTACCCCCTCCGGTGAGTTGTCTAGGAACTTTTGTAAATCTTCTTCCAATGGATCAGGTTTTTGTTTTATGTGCAAACCACCAACCTCAATCATATTGGGAACATAAGGACGTGGTGCTCGCAGCGAAAAGTGATCATTCAATAACACCAGTGAGACATTACGGCGGGCCTCATCCATTGACAGTTTGGCATTGGGGAAATATTTCTTGTAGACTTTCTCGTGATCAGGTAACATGAGATAATTCAAACACAAATCATCCACAACATTGGCCAAGACATTGACAGTTCGTTCCCACAGCGACATATGACTGCCATATTGCAAACTCATGTGGGGTATAAATGAGGCTGGTGATGGATTGGCTGTTAGATAGTCAATAAAACCAATGGTGCCAAATGTGGAGACTCCAATCATTGGAGCTTGAAAATATTCTCCCAATCCCAACAATGATTCTGTGCTCAAAACTTCGATGATTAGCAAATCAAATTTTTCATTTTTCAATAGGTTTTTTACTTCCGAATTTTCCATGACATTGGTGGTGACCGTCACACCCAAAGCGCTAAGTTCCACAAATTCTTGGAAAAATGATTTTTCTTCACTCTCACCGCCCGCCATTTCAATTAACATTTCTAAAGAATACATTTTTTGAAATAAAAATTCAAATTCATAGTCCTCATTACAAACTTACCATCGAAAATCTTGCTATTTTCCATAACGGCGATATCACGAAAATTCTTCAGCGGTTTCTTTTGGGGAAATGTCGATATGGATGTGACTTCATGGCCCTTTTCCGCCAAGGCCTTAAGCAGTGGTGAAATAAAAATATACTGCGATGGCCCCGAGTAGGGGAAGATGGAAAGAATTTTAGCTCCCTCCGTTGATTCGAATATTCCAAGGCTCATAAATAGAGCAATAATTAAAACGGAGCGTATGCCCATTTTAGTGATGTGTTCCCCTTGCTGGTCAATGGCCTACTGTGTGCGGATAAGTTTTGAATTAGTCGTTTTGTTGACTTGCCTTATCATTAGACCGAGTGTTCCCCAACTAAATAATACATAATATAAATTAGCAATTGAATTGATAACCAAAAAACGCTTATCGCAGTTGTTTTGTCTTATCTTAATATGAACCTAGAAACTACCCGCCTATTTCACAGTTTCAAGTTCACTATCAACATTCTAATTAACGGTAGTTTATGTCGTGTGTCTTCGTTGTAGGTCATTGTTTTATTGAGTTAAGTACTGCAATGAATCGGCAAGAATGGTAGATTTTAGACTCACGCACGGTGGTGATGATTATATCAAAACCTAATATTAATAAATAACTTTTAAGGAATTACATAGCCTAATCGAAATAACGACCTTAGGTCTCTTTGAACCAAATCCATATCACGAAATTTGGAGTCTATCTAGGAGTGTCAGTCTGTCAGGCTGGCTGGTGCGTATGATAATATTCAAAAGTAGTATCCGATTTGGTTCAAACTTGGTACATTGCAAAATTAGTATCAAAGTTAGATCGAGTTCGGAGATGGGTTATATCGGTCCACTCCTTCTGGTATCTCCCCCACAAAAGTGCGACTTTTTCAAAAAAAAAAAAAAAAAAAAGAAGAGAAGAGAAGAGAAAGGATAATCCGATTTTGCTACAACTTTGCAAATCCTAATATTTGCATCAATGCAAAGTCGGATACCAAAATCGACAAAACCGGACCTCCCATTCAAAGGGTCAAAATTTAGAACAAATTATTACTCTTATAAAATGTGATATAGTCCGATTGTCTTCAAATTACATACATCACAATATTTTTATTAACCCACGGTCTGCTATGAAGATGGAACATATCGGTCCACTTCTTTTAGTAACTCCCCGAGGGTTAAAAATTTGAAGCTCATATATCATAGCTCTCTTTAAATTTGACACACACAAACATTTTTGCTAACACAAGATCTGTTGTGAAGATGATATACAGGGTGAGATAAAAAAACTCCAACAAATTCAAACGCCATAATTTTTCCTTCTTTTTTACATTTTAATTTCGGAAATAGCATCAAAATTCAGAATAAGTTTAGATTTGTTCGAATTGGTTGCCTACGGCACGATTTATAGCAAATTAAACCGTCACACGCTGCCACAATGTTGCTCTGCGGTATTTTGATCCATTTCCGACGAAGCTCGTGCTTGAGGTGCTCCACACTTTGGCATTTTTTAGCAGGAAATGAAGCGAGGAACCTCATTTTGTAACCATTCATGGGTGACACGTGCTGAGTGCGATGGTGCTGAATCCTGTTGGAAAGTCCAAGGTCTGCGACCAAAAAGTTTGCGTGCCCAAGGCTTTAATACATCCTCCAGAATATTTTCCCGATAATATTCGGCATTTATTCTGATACCACGGTCGTTTAATACGAGCGGAGACCGACCATCGGCTGTTATGGCGGTCCACAACATCACCATGGCCGGCCCTTGAGTTCTGGTGGCCAACCGGAGGTGCACATATTCAGCTGCCCTCTTTGGTAACTCAGGTAAACACGAACATTTAGTTTGTTTACAATCTGCTGGACAACGAATGTTATCTCATCGGAGAAAACCAAATTCGGCAGCTCACCACTTTGGCCAAGCGAAGCAACTCTTTAGCTCTTTTGAGTCTATTTTCTTTCGGTTGCGCCGTAAGTTCTTGCAATTTTTGGAATTTCAATGGATTTACCCCGAGCTAATTTTTCAATATTTGCCGAATGGAATATTGCGATATGTTCAGCTCACGAGCCATCGGCCAATGCGATGCGGGTTTCGATCAAGTCGCTTTTTTCTTTCTTTCTTTCGTCCACTTCCTTGACGTCGGGCTACGCTACCAGTATCGCGGTAACGAGCGATGGTACAAGACACAAAAGATTTATTCACATTTAAATGCTGGAGTGCGCGAACGATAGCCACTTGGGGTTTTCCAGCCGAATATAAAAAAATCACACTATCACGCTTGAACTCCATCACGAATAACTTTTTTTCTGGAAAATTCTCACCAAAATGCTTTTGTATGATTGTAAACAATATAATGAGCTGTCACTGGAATAATTTTAACAGCTATCGGACGAGTGGCTTAGCAGATGACAGCAGTCTGAAATTGATTGCAGTTTTTTCATATCACCCTGTAGCTATTGAGCCCGAGCTGCTAATAAGCTGTAATATGCTTCCGATATCAATGATATTGGGTACGAGATGTTATTTACAACCTATCAACTTGCAGTTCTTAATTCAATCAACCAATGACCTGCATTGTAGGCACACGAAGTAGATTACAGCTGATTAGAAGCAAGATAGCGAAATGGGTCAATAGTCCACATTAATATTAGACCAAAGAACTGCGATAAGCATTCTCGCTTATCGATTCAATTGAATATTATTTAGTTAGGCAAGTCAGAAAAACAACTAACTCAAAACTTAACCACAAAGTAAGCCATTGACCGGCAACGGGAACACATCGCTAAAATGGACATACGCTCCATTCTCCTTATTGCTCTATTTATGAGCATTGGAAAATTCAACTCTGCAGAGGGAGCAAAAATTCTTTCCATCTTCCCCTACTCGGGGCCCTCGCAGTATATTTTTATTTCACCACTGCTAAAGGCCTTGGCGGAAAAGGGCCACGAAGTCACATCCATATCGACATTTCCCCAAAAGAAACCACTGAAGAATTTCCGTGATGTTGTTGTTATGGAAAATAGCAATATTTTCGATGGTAAGTTTGTAGTGAGACTTAAGAATTTTAAAAATTATTTCAAAAAACTTTATTTCAGAAATGTTTACCCAGGCTACGGCCGGTGAGGCTGAAGGAAAATCATTTTTCGAAGAATTTGCGGAACTCAGTTCTTTGGGGGTGACCGCCAGCAGCAATGTCATGGAAAATGTGGATGTGAAGAAACTATTGAAAAATGAAAAATTTGATTTGATCATCATCGAAGTTTTTGGAACCGAATCGTTATTTGGTTTGGGTGAATATTTTCAAGCTCCAATGATTGGCGTCTCCACTTTTGGCACCATTGGTTTTATTGATTACCTAACTGCCAATCCATCACCAGCCTCATACATACCCCACATGAGTTTGGAGTATGACAGTCACATGTCGCTGTGGCAACGAACTGTAAATGTCTTGACCAATGTTGTGGATAATTTGTGTACAAATTTCTTCTTAATAGCGGGTCAAGAGAAAGTCTACAAGAAATATTTTCCCAATGCCAAACTGTCTTTGGATGAGGCCCGTCGTAATGTCTCCTTGGTGTTATTGAATGATCACTTCTCACTGCAAGCACCACGTCCTTATGTCCCCAATATGATCGAAGTTGGTGGTTTGCATATTAAACAAAAACCCGATCCTTTGGAAGAAGATTTACAAAAATTCCTGGACGATTCACCGGAGGGTGTAATTTACTTCTCCATGGGTTCAAATGCGAAGAGTAAAGATTTAGCCCCTCATACACTCCAGGCCATATTGAGTACATTTGCAGAATTGAAGATTAAAGTTTTGTGGAAATTCGAACTGGAAGAATTACCGAATAAACCAGCCAATGTTGTCATACGCAAATGGTTTAATCAACCCTCCATATTGGCCCATCCCAATGTGAAGCTGTTCATTTCCCATGGCGGATATTTGAGTACCACTGAAACGATATTCCATGGTAAACCCATCCTGGGCATTCCAGTGTTGGGCGATCAATTTATGAATGTTAAAAACGCCGTGAAAGCTGGTTTTGCTTTGCGTTTGGATTTAAGATCCCTTACAAAGGAGAAATTTATGCAGAGCATTCAAGAGCTATGGACGAATCCCCGTTATACGAATGCAGTGAAAACCTTGTCGAAACGTTATAGGGATCAGCCATTGACGCCCTTGGAAACTGCAATCTTTTGGGTGGAATATGTCCTGAGACATGATGGAGCTCCCCATATTCGTAATGCTGGCCAGGATTTGTCATTTTGGCAATATCACAATATTGATGTGTATCTACTCTTAGCAAGTTGTATTGTTGTTGTGTTTACATTAATAGCGAGTTTAATTAGATTTGGAAAGAAACTTATTTGTGCTATTTCAAAATCGATGAAAAAATCCAAGAAATCAAAAATAAAGAAAAACAAGTAAGCAAAGGCTACAGTCGAGCGGGGCCGACCGTTGAATACCCTACAACACTATAATAAACGATACAGTTTATATAGGCGAGATACTCGAAAGATTTTCACAAGATATTATGGCAAATAATAAAAGAAAACCATCAGGATTCGTTCTCCAATTTTCGAATAATAGCAACCCGTGAGGATCGGGCGTATATTACGACCTGCTGACAATTTTGCAGTTTTTTGGTCCATTTCAACCCCTAAATATATGGCGATCATCTCCAAAAAGAGTAGGCTTCTATTCTGACCCTCATCTTATCCCCATGCAAAATTTCGTAAGGATCGGACAGTAAATGCGATCTGTATATGATATCCTGATATCCTAACTACTTAGTTTTATTAGTTGTAGAAACATTACCAAATGTTTGATTAAAAATGAAAATATGCCAAAAATATGACAAAATTGAAAAAATATGAGAAAATGTTACAAAATCAATATTTTCATCTTTAGAGGGATATTTTTATGCGATTTTTTTAAACGTTTTATCTTTAGTGCCAGGAGGCCATTCTGAATTAATGAGAACTGTCGAAATCAGTTCAGCCGTTCTCGACATATAAGAGATCTTTCAAGCATATCTTCTTTGATAGACATATATATCGCACATATTTTGGTATATATCCGATTTGTTGGATGTTAACATCAATGTAAAGGTCAGAAGTAACCTTGCCATGGCTTTGTGATTTCGCAGGGATTTAAAATATTTGCGGATTAATCAAAAAATTTGAATTTTTTCAACACAAAGTATATGGTCTATTTTACCCGCTAAATATTATCCAAATTGGTAGGCTTCTTCCCCGCCCTAAACTCTGACTACATGCGAAATTCCGCGTCGATTGGTCTATAATTGCGACCTGTATAGCTACTGCAAAATCCGACATTTTTTCAGTATTTGGTCCATTTCAACCCCTAAACATTTGAAATAGGCTTCTATTCTGACCCTAACCCGACCTTCGTGCAAAATTTCGTAAGGATCGGGCCATAATTGCGACCTGTAGCGTGATTACAAATTAACATGGACAGACGGACGGACGGACATACATAGCTAGATCGTCTCAGCTTGGCGAGCTAGGAAGATCCATGTATACTTTCCTATATGGGAAAACAATATTTCGAGGTGTTACATAAATTCTGGCCCAATCAAACTTATAATACCCCCAACACATAGTGTTGTAGGGTATAATTAGGTGAACGAAATCCAAACATTGAATTTTGTGCGTGATAAGTAAATGATTGATAACACCGTGGAAAAATTTTAGCTGGGAATATTTCAATGGGGGGTTATGTTGATGGTATAAAGTCAATTGAGTACAATCATAAATGGACATGAAGTTATCGGCCATTAAGACCCTTTATCTATGAATACTGACAAGTGGCCGTGGCTTTGTTTGCCTTAGCTTTCAAAACGTAAAGATGTAATACAATTTTAGTAACAAAGCGTTATTTTATATACTTTTATATTCTAGCTTTGATAATTAAATATAATTTTGGGTATGAGTTTTCCAATTTTGCGCACTACAAGAAAATTTTATAAAATTTACGATTGGCCCCTAAGGTCAGATCTGTTGTGACATTTTTGTAGTAAATACATGAGTAATACTCGTTAATAAACAATGTTACTGCTACTCCAGACATGGAGTATTGGTGACTATTGATTTGACCAATGATCAGTCGGTGACTTTGGCACAACGTGAATTTCCTGGCCGTTCCATGCCTACTGGTGAAACACTGTGACATTTAGCCGCTCGCCTCCAAGAGGCTGGCACAACAAAAGATCCTACCAGGCGTAGCAGACCTCGGAGTATCCGTTCTACAGAGCATATTGCTGCTGTAGCCATGGATGTCACGAAAGCGCCGTCGACATCGAACAGACGACGTGCTATGGAAATTGGTATCAGTCGACGGTCTTTATAGAGAATTTTTTGTATAAGATTTGAAGAGGTGTCCGTACAAAGTCCAGATGGTGAATCACCTGTTAGCTGTTGACCGCTAATCGCGTCTAACATGCGCTTAAGCTATCCTCAATCACCACCAAGAGGAAGAAGATTTTTAATAAAAAATAATCATGAGTTATGAGGGCCATTTCCATCTTAGCGGATACGTAAATAAGCAAAGTGGAACACTGAAAATCCGCGAGAAACCCATGAAGAGCCTATTACACCCGCTCAAAGTCACTGTATGGTGTGCTGTGAGTGTAGGCGGTACAAAGCAATGATCAACGACTTCTTTTTGCCGTAACTTAATGAGTTGGGATAAGAAAACATGTGGTTCCAACAGGACGGTGCAACGGCGCATACTGCACGTGCCAAAATCGATGAAGGATGCATTTACTGGGCGCCTAATCTCCGTTTTGGCGATTTGCACTGGCCTGCAAGATCGCCGGATTTTACCGTTCCAGACATCTTTCTGTTTGACTTTTTCAAGTCGCGGGTTTATGTCAGCAAGCCTCAGATTCTTTCAGGTCTTAAATACAATATCCGTCAAGAGTGTGAGGACCTATCCCCGGAAGTTTTGACCAAAGTGATGGAAAGTAGAATAAAAATACTGTCCATTTTAGATTTTAGGATTTGAAAAGTTGCATCAACATCGGATTATCGTTTCTCTTTCTATGCTTTTATAACCATAGTTTTTCCAAGGCATATCGGTAATCTTACCATCGAAAATCTTTCTATTTTCCATAACAGCAACATCACGGAAATTCTTCAGTGGTTTCTTTTGGGGAAATGTCGATATGGATGTGACTTCGTGGCCCTTTTCCGCCAAGGCCTTTAGCAGTGGTGAAATGAAAATATACTGCGATGGCCGCGAATAGGGAAATATGGAGTGAATTTTAGCTCCATCTGCAGACTTGAATATTGTAAAGCTCACAAATAGAGCATATATTAGAATAGAGAGTATGCCTATCAAAATATTTTTTGAAAATTTCGGCCTTTTGTGGGGAAGGTACCAGAAGGAGTGGACCGATATATTCCATCTTAACAACAGACTTTGGGTTGATAAAAATATTGGGATGTGTGAAATTTGAAAACAATAGGACTTTTACATCACTTTTTTTTAAGAATTGTAATTATTCAAAATTTTGAGCCTTTGTGGGGAAGGTACTTGATGGAGTGGACCGATATTGTCCATTTTCACACCTGAAATAGCACTGATGCAAATATTGGGATTTGTAAAGTTGAAGCAAAATTGGATTATCGTTTCTCTTTCTGTGCAGAAAATATTTTTTTTTTTTTAAATTTCGACCTTTTGTGGGGGAGGTACCAGAAGGAGTGGGCCGATATTGCCCATCTCTGAACTCGATCTAAGTATAACAAAAATATTAGGATTTACCAAGTTTGGACCAAATCTGATACTCCATTCGAGAGTTATCGTGCGCACCAGCCAGACAGACGGACGGACATCGCTTGATTGACTCCAAATATATGCTGAAACGGATTTGGTTCAAAGAGACCTAGGGTCTAAAACCGTTATTTTGACTAGGCAAGTTTTAACCGTTTCAAATGATATATACCCTCTCTAGCCATATGGCTGAAGGTATAAAAACGCTGGAAGTTTACTTTTGCGCCACTTAATGTTAGCGCCGCATGATTTTTGGTCTTTCTTTACATAGCTAAAATTTGCAGTGCTTCGAAAATTATTACGTACCCTCTCTTAACAGTGAACACATTTTAATGGCTTGAGACGTCGTTCGTTCCAAGGAATTTCACAGTCAAATTTATGCGTTATTTACTAATAGAACTCGATCTATTAAATACTCAATGTCTGACATTTGTTTTCCGGAGAGGAACACCATTTGACTTTTGTTTTCTTGGAGTCTTCTGAACTATAACACTTTCTTAATTACATTCACATTCAATTCTTCAATATTTTTTTTTTTTTTATCATATATTTAAGTTTTCTTTATTTTAGATTTCTTCGAACTACCACAAATAATTTTCTTTACGAAGCTAATAAAAACAGCCATCAGTACAAACACAACAACAACAAAACTTGATAAGATTACGTACACATCAATATTGTGATATTGCCAAAATGACAAATCTTGACCGGCATTGCGAATATGCGAAGCGCCATCATGTCTCAGAACATATTCCACCCAAAAGATTGCAGTTTCCATGGGTGTCAAAGGTTGATCTCTGAAACGTTTCGACAATTTCTTAACAGCATTCGAATACGTGGGATTCGTCCACAACTCTTGGATGTTCTGCTTGAATTTCTCCTTTGTAAGAGACCTTAGATCCAGACGCAAGGCAAAACCAGCTTTTACCGAATTTTTAACATTCATAAATTGATCTCCCATTACTGGTACACCCAGAATGGGTTTTCCATGAAATATTGTTTCGGTGGTACTTAAATATCCACCATGGGAAATGAAGAGCTTCACATTGGGATGGGCCAATATGGAGGGTTGATTAAACCATTTGCGTATGACAACATTGGCCGGTTTGTTCGGCAATTCTTCCAATTCAAATTTCCACAAAACTTTTATTTTCAATTCTGCAAAGGTACTCAAAATGTCCTTCAGCGTTTGTGGGGGTAAGTCTTTACTCTTAACATTCGAGCCCATGGAGAAGTATATTACCCCCTCCGGTGAGTTGTCTAGGAACTTTTGTAAATCTTCTTCCAAAGGATCGGGTTTTTGTTTAATATGCAAACCACCAACCTCAATCATATTGGGGACATAAGGGCGTGGTGCTCGCAACGAGAAGTGGTCATTCAGCAACACCAGGGAGACATTGCGACGGGCCTCATCAAACGACAATTTGGCATTGTGGAAATATTTCCTATAGACTTTCTCTTGGCCCGGCATCAAAAGGAAATTTGTACACAAATCATCCACCACATTGGCCAAGACATTGACAGTACGTTGCCACAGCGACATATGACTGTCGTATTCCAAACTCATGTGGGGTATATAAGAAGCTGGTGATGGATTGGCTGTTAAGTAGTCAATAAAACCAATGGTGCCAAAAGTGGAGACGCCAATCATTGGAGCTTGAAAATATTCACCAAGACCCAGTAACGATTCGGTACCCAAAACTTCGATGATGATCAAATCAAATTTTTCGTTTTTCATTAGTTTCTTCACTTCCACATTTTCCATGACATTGGTGCTGACCGTGACTCCAAGAGTGTTGAGCTCTATAAATTCTTCGAAAAATGATTTTTCTGCACCCTCACCGGCCGCCAACTCGGTTACCATCTCTAGAAAACAGTATTCTTGATATTATTTTCAAATTCCAAGGCATAATAGTAAACTTACCATCGAAAATTTAGCTATTTTCCATAACAACAACATCACGGAAATTCTTCAGCGGTTTCTTTTGGGGAAATGTCGATATGGATGTGACTTCATGGCCCTTTTCCGCCAATGCCTTTAGCAGTGGCGAAATAAAAATATACTGCGATGGCCCCGAGTAGGGGAAGACGGAAAGAATTTTTGCTCCCTCTCCAGACTTGAATATTGCAAAGCTCATAAATAGAGCAACAATTAGAATGGAACGTATTTCCATTTTGAGTGATGTGTATGCGTTGCCGGTCAATTGACTACTGTGAGGGTAAACATTTCATCAGTTTAAGTTGACTTCAACCATCTGTGTGTTCTTTATCTGAATAATGTAAATTCGCAATTGAATTGATGATCGAGACCACTTATCGTTCTCTCTAATCTAAATATTAACCTAGAAGCTATACGCCGCTTTCACAATTTCAAGTTCAGTATCAGCGTTGAAGGTTATTGTATTTTATTAAATTAAAAACAACAACAAAAACGGAATGGCATTGAAACGGCTTGTAGAAGTGCAAGTCATGAACGCAATGTGGTGATGATTTTATTTTAATGTCATTAATGTGCAAATTTGCAGATTAATTTGCAGTGTAGTATCGGCTGGGTAAAATTATTGCAGGCAAACGCGTCACACACTTCTAATAAATCCCAACAAAAACTTAATACCTTGTGCATCACAGATAATTTCCTGTCATAGGCTGTAGTATCTATTACGAACTTCAAATACCAAATTTGAAACAATTCCGGTGAATAATGTCGCTAAAATCATCAAAATTCCGAATATCGGGAGGTACCGTCATATCGTGGCTATACGAAGACGTGGACCTGCACAGACAATTTTCTGTCATAGACTGTAGTATCCATTACGAACTTCAAATGTCAAATTTCAAATAATTCCGGTGAATAATGTCGCTAAAATCATCAAAATTCCGAATATTTGGAGGTACTATTATGTGGAGACTATACCAAAATGTGGAACTACATGGCCAATTTTTAATACCAAAAGTCCTGCAGACATAATATACATTTGAGTTAAATTTTATCAATCTACTTCATTTCGTTCGGAAGCTAGATTGATTTTCACAGACCGATAGACGAGCGGACATCGACATAGAATTTTATGCTGATCAAGAATATATATACTTTATGGGATTGAAAATGTATATTTCGAGGTGTTACAAACGGAATGACAATCTTAATGTATCCTCCATACTATGGTGGAGAGTATAAAAATGGGGATTGTGGTGGAATTATTTCTCAATTTTAATACCCTCAGCCATCACATCACACCACACCTCTGGCCAAAATTTTGAACAATTATAACTCTTATAAAATGTGATGTAAGAGTCCGATCACAATATTTTATTAACCCAAGGTTTGGTGTTGAGATGGAATATATCGCTCCACTCCTTCTGGTACCTCCCTCACAAATGGTCGAAATTTTGAATATCAATTATGATCAGAATATCAATTATGATAGACTTGATACATCTGAATATTTCTATCAACGCAGGATATGTTAAACCAGTAAAGAAAGACTTTAAGTCGGGCGGGGCCGACTTTATGATACCCTACACCACTTTGCTAATTTAGTAGGGCTCCACATAACAATTAAAAGTTTTTATCGGAGAATTCAATCATACACGCTATGATTATAATTATAATTTAAAGTTCAAAGGACTAAATATGCCGAAGCACTTGTATCTTCTAAATTCGGACTTGTATTGCCCATTTGGTGCACAATTTATTTGAAATCGAATATAGATAAATATGGAAGCTATAGCCAAATCGGAACCGATCTCTATAAAATTTGGCAAATATATTTCTGAGCTGTATTTGATATATATCCCTGAATATCGTTGTTACGGAATGCATATTACGGCTGTGGGTAACAAATATGATAAATCGGATGAACAGTATATATGGGAGCTGTAGCTATATCTGAACCGATCTTCACCAAACTTGGCATACTAGCTTCTAGACTCGATTCGGTCGTAAGTGCCAAATTTCATCCCATTTAGGCAAATATTAGACCTTTGGTGCACAATCAAAGGTAAATCGGACGAAGTTCTATAAAGGGGAGCTATATACAAATCGGAACCGATCTCGATAAAATTTAGCAAACGTATTTCTGAGCTGTATTTGATATATTTCCCCAAATATTGTTTTTACTGAGTGCATATTACGGCTGCGGAGGATAAAAATAACGAATCGGATGAACAATATATATGGGAGCTATAGCTATATCTGAACCGATTTCGATCAAATTTAGCATACTTATTTTAAGGCCTAATCTGGTTGATATGCAAAATTCCATAATTTTCGGCCTGATATTACACGTTTGGTGCACAATAAAAGGCAAATCAGACGAAGATATATATGGGAGCTATATCTAAATTTTGACCGATTATCTCCAATTTATAGGGTTCGTCCTTGGGCCAAACAAATGATTTGTGCAAAATTTCATCTGGATAGGGCAATAAATGCGAACTGTACTTTGTTTACAAAAATACATGGACAGACGGACGGACGGACATGCATAAATCGACTCAGAATGTGATTCTATGCAGATCATCAAAAGGAACTATGGGTCTATCTCGTTTCCTTTTGCCTGTTACAAACAAATGCACAAAGACATAATACCCTGACCACCTTGTGGTGTAGGGTACAAAAACACGGTAGAGCTCGGAGCATTCCTTCTGGTACCTCCCCACAAAGGGTCAACGTTTTGAATAACCAAAACGTTTATAAATTCCGAAATAAGCATCAGGTTCTCCTTATATTTCACGCATCCCTATATTTCTACTAACACAAGATCTGTTGTGAAGACGAGATATATCGGTCTTCTCCTTCTGGTACCTCCCCCACAGAGGCTCAACATTTGGAATATCCATGAAGCTCACAAAAAGTAAAATTAACATCCGAATTAATTCCAGTCTTGTTACATCTCAATATTTCCATCAACACAACATATTTGTTATAAAGATGGTAGACATCGGACCATTTATTTTCTACCTGCCCCATATAGGGTTCTAGATTTTGGAAAACAAAATGCTCAAAGAAACGAAAAAAGCATTAAACTCTATTCAAATTTCACACATACAGAAATTTTTGCTAATACAAGATCTGTTGTGAAGATGATAAGTATCTGCGAACCCCTTCTGGTACCTCACCCATAAAGGGTCATAATTTTCAATACTTTTATCTTGCGAAACAAGTCTGTGATTTTTGCTATCTATCAAATATTCCTCTCAACCAGAAACCTGAGATGAATATGGAATTTATGATTTTGCATAAAATTGGATACAAATTTTAGATTTTCTTGTAATTTGCCCATACTAATATTTTTATCTGGATTAGATGAGGTATGAAAATGGAATACTTCGGTCGACTATATGTAGCACCTCGCACACACTTTTAATATTTTCTTAAAGTTAGCACATACCTCATTTAAAGTGAAGGAAGCAGCCGATATAGTTCATACATGGCACGTCGCAATATTTATATCATATTTTTTTAGGTGCGATACGAAATGGACTATATTGGCCTATTGATTCGGAACCTACTCCATAGAAGGTCAACAATTTGAATTGTCTAACAGAAGTCAAAATATATTTTTTAATAATCAAACATTGGCTGAGGGTATACATCTGTCGGCAAAACCGACTGATACTTTTTAACATTTTGTCTTTAAAATATGTTATTATTCAATTAATTCTGCAAATACAGTTATGGTGCCTTTTTGGTTTTTTTGATATATAATACTCGATTTATTTATAAAAATTACCCAAGGAAATACCTTTGGTTTTCACAGCAAAAACCATAACACGTGTAACTTTGAAGCCAAAAACTTTACATCAAAATATTGCCAATATTGTAAACACGTGCAGGTGAAATACTCTCAGGTATCACATGCCAAATATTGTCCACACTCAGGTAGAGTTCCATGGCGGCAGCAACTTCAGAATACGGATTGTACCTTATGTTTATTTTATCCACATATCGCATCATTTACTGCTACAATAATCACCATCGCGTCGTGTAACTGTATATTTCATAATTTGTACTTTCGCATTTTCTTTTGCTCTAACAACTTTCGTTTTTTTCTTTCAGATTGATATCAGAAGTTTGTAACTTTTTACTTACACCTTGTCCTCCCTTCGTTTTCGATATCACCACGGCAAAAATTACATTTACCCTGCACGTGTGGGTGAGACCAGGACGTTGTTGATTTGTACAAATGAAGTTGTGGTTTTATATTTCATTACAAATTACCGAGGGTGGGATGGGATAGGATGTTGCGTGCAACAACAGCAGCAGCAGCAGGAGGATTAAAACTTTTACATTTTATTTAACCTAAATTTAATATGCCGGCGAAGTATGCAAGTTTTTCAGTTTTAAACATGAAAAAAAAACCAAACTCAATGATAAAATATTAAAATTTATACTATATTACGACAAGGATTTGTTGGTGAAAATTCTGCAAATGGTACACATATACACAACAAACTCATTAAGAAATCTATATTTGCTCTATAAAAGCTATTTTAAGTGGCAAACAGGACCCGGTGAGCTTTCATAAATGTATTTCTATCATCTCTGTTTCATCATAAAGCTTTGTCAAAAAAATTTGCAAAACGACAGTGACACAAATTAATTAACTTATATATAAAAAAAAAAAAAAATGCTCGCTACTTCGTCAGCGATATATACTTTCCTATGTTTCCCACATAGGAAAGTATATATGGATCTTCCTATCTCGCCTAGCTGAGACGATCTAGCTATGTATGTACGTCCGTCTTTCCATGTTAATTTGTAATCAATCTACAGGTTGCAATTATGCCCCGATCTTCACGAAATTTAAAATGTAGGTGGGGCTAAAGGCAGAATAGAACCCTACTTCTTTTGGAGATGATCGAACAATATTAAATAGACCAAAAACTGGAAAAAATCCTGATTTTGCAGTTGCTCTACATGTCGCAATTATAGACCAATCAAAGCGGAAGTTAGCAGGGGCTAGAGCTTAGGGCTGGGCAGAAGCCTTCCAATTTTGATGGTCATCGGGTATTATTTAGTGGGTGAAATAGGCCACAACAGTTGTGTTAAATAAAAGTCA